TAGGGCTGGGTTGTTGTATTTATTATCAGGCTGGTCTAAAACAGCCCCTTTGTTAAGATTGAATTAGGTGATTGTTGTCAGGATAAGGAATGTTATTTTACTGTCACTGTGTTATCATTCACGTGTACTGTCATTATTTCATCATTACTTCATTAGTCTGCATCACTTATCATCAGTTTATCATCAATATTATCATGTATCATTTATCATTTAGTAAATCTGCTAACGGTGTGGTTACTGAATACTCTTGTATTAACACGCAGAATAAAACACATTCTAGAAAGCACCAGCATGGCTGTAGGTCCAGGCAGTCCGCAGTCGGATAAGGACACCGAACTTTCGTTGGCCTGGACCTACAATATCACAAAACTGCACACTCGTCTACACAATTGGTTATGTTCCCAGATACCGATGATGGAAAACATCTGGTTTCAAGCCTGGGAAAGGGTTGTTGTTCTGAGAAGAGTTCCAGGAATTGTCCTGACGTCATAATGGCTATAAAGCTTTCTGTAACGGGCAGAGAGACGAAGACTGGCTTCCCACACTGTACAGAGTGTGTGTGTTTAATAAATCACTTTTTTGACACCTCCTAGGACTCTGTCTGCGCTTATTTTTCCTTCCAAATGAAAAGAACCTTACATTGTGGAACTGTAGATGGTATCATATTGCTAGCATGCCCCTGTGTTAGTACAGCAGAAAATGGTTATAGAATAGAAGCAGCATCACAGGAAAGTGTGCAGAAAGGCAGCATTAACTGCCGTCTGACACATCTTGAGAAGTATAGGCAAAAGCAGAACTACGTAAGGAGCTTGACACGCTTAAAGACCCCACATATAACCACCCACGCTCATAGAGAATGAGGATGTGCGCAAAGAAAGGGAGACAGAGATGATGGGCAGAACCATAAAAGGAGAGGTGAATCGGTGTGTAAGACTGTAAAAGGAAAAGATAAGAATGTTAAATGAGGAACGAGATGCTTTGATCGAAACAGTCCTGAATAACAGGAAAAGTAGGCGCTGAATGAGAAACCAAAAAAAAGTATAAATGTAACAGACTGAGGAAGTGCCTTTCAGATCTGCTGGAGACTTGTGGAAAAATGACAGTGCGCCTTATGGTTCTGGTCATGCTTAGTGACCTCAAACCGATTTTATGTGGTACACAGCGCTCAAAAATCTGTCAGATATTTTAGTACGGCTTTGGTAAGCTACGAAGCCGCACTGCTTGATGGATTGTCAAAGCATTACAGCTTCCGTAGTCAGGAGCCGCGAAGTAATCGGGGTCCAAACTCTGCTTCAGGTCCTAAAGTCAAACGAACACTGTGGCATCGCTGAGCGTTAAAAAATGTCTAAATGCCTTCGTCTTTAATAAAATGATCAGTGTTGCTGCTTTACCAGGTGTAACAATTAAGTTTAACAT